CCCTCCCTCCCTCCCTCTATGTCCTGTATGCAGTGGTAGAGCATGCGCTTTAGACTGTCACAGGCTTCCCTTGTTCCTGCCTCTGCCTTTGCTGTTTACTGGCCATTTGACCTCCACTAACCGTGCAATCTCATTTCCTTCATATGGAGACCTCGCCCTAAACGCAAGGCTGTTAGGAGCATGGAGGCGGGAGCTGAGCCTGGCAGTTCCTGGAGCTCCGCTCCTCCAGCCCTTTGCACTCGCTGCTCTTGCTCACCAAGCCGCTTATACTCGGGTGTGGATGATGAGCGTTCATGTGTCACCTTAACCTTCTCCTTCTTGGTGTGCCTTTTAATGCCCGGTGAGAGTGGGCGCGGGGCCCCTCCGCCGGCCGGCCGCCCTTCCTTCCTCGGGCGGGGAGCCCCGCTGCTCGTCACCGCAGAGCCTTCAGGCCGTTCGGACTGTCCTCCCGAGCTCGCTTCTCAGAAACGCACGTCCGCGCCGGCTGGCGCTGCCTGGGCTGGCCCGGCACCTGCAGTGCTCTGTCGCGAAGTTCGGCGACGTGTCCGCGCCGCAGGCCGTGCCTCCCGGAGCACGCGGCGCCCCGCACGGGGCTCGTGCGTCCCCAGGAAGCTCGCCGCCGCGCCTGTGCTTGCAGGTGGCCCTGGTCTAGGAGCAGGCTGCGTCTGCAGCGAGGCTTGCGCACGCCCGGGCCGAGGCCCGGCCGCTGGTTAGACGCCCGGCACCGGCACCGGCGAGGGCCTCTTCTCCGCGTGAGGCCAGCGGTGATCCCGCTCGCAGGGGTGCCGGGTGGAGCTCCGTGAGCGGGCGCCGGGCTGAACGCTCGCTTGGGAGTGCGATGCACGGGCGGGTGCATCGGTGACTCGATTCTCCTGATGCATTAGAAAATGGTTTGCATCCATTCCTCCTGTTTGCCAGCCACGGTACGGTCTTGGTCAAATTGGAGAGTTTCTAAAGTGAGCACTGCAGGCCAGGCATGGTCGCACGCCAGCACTCCGGAGGCCGAGGCCGAGGATCGCCGCGAGTTGGAGACCAGCCTGGGCTGCCAAGTGAGCACAGGGCAGCTGGAACTTCCTAGGAAGACTGTCTGAAAAGGAAATGATAATAAATAATAATAATAAACTGAATACTGTATAACTTTAGAAAAACTTTGTTCATTTAAAGAACATAGCACAAAAATGAGATAATCAAAAATATTTATGAAAAGTACTTTACAGGACTTTGTCACAGTGCGCAGCAATATTTCACTTTCTGGTCTCCCGTTTAGTGACCCCCACAAACTGTATGTGAGAGGTTGGCTAAGACATTCCTTAAGTTATCCTCATCTATTAGGTTGTAAAATAGTTGCAAATTATCTTCTGGGAAAAAAAAAAAGCAAAATTCAAGTAATCGTATATCCAGTTCCTTCTTTTCCAATTAGCAGACTACGGTCTCCCCTATTACCCTTTCCTGGTTAAAAAGTGTTTAGAGAAGACCGGGGTCTCTGAGCCTAGGAAGTGGTGCTGAAACTGGGAGGACTTCATGTTCTAATGAAAAGTTATTCAGTACAGTTGAATCATTCATATAGGCATATAAAATAGGGGAACGTTATATAGAATGAAGTTAAATGATGTAGAAAACTTACTTGATGTTTATTAAGGCTTTTTCCTCCACTGCTACTATTTTAAATAATTTCAGATACTTTTACCCACAAAATTAATGTCATCCTTTATAATTTTTGAGTTCATCTAATAGATATCATATTAGCAAATATAGGAGTTAGAGAGAGGGATATTCACACTTATTGGGGCTTTATAAGATACATAGGAACATATTTCAGGATGTTATACCCCATCATTGTAAAAAAAAAAAAAATAGAAAAAAAAAGCTATAGGTATTGGCAAAAAAATAAAACTAATCTGAACTATAATAGTGGCTAGAAAAAAGATACTCCAATAATTTTGTTTTTCTTTCTTTCTTTCTTTCTTTCTTTCTTTCTTTCTTTCTTTCTTTCTTTCTTTCTTTCTTTTCTCCTCCCTCCCACCTACCCATGCAGTACTGGGTATCGAACTTGGGACCTTGCACTTGCCAGGAAGGCACTTAAGCTGCTTAGCTATACATCTAGCCCCTTCAACTATTTTCATTGATTGAAAACTGTAGTTTGCTTCATTTACTTTGATTGCTGAATCTGTCCCTGGCAGCTGTATGACAGAAAAATGACATGGCTTCTTTTTGTGGCCACTTTCTTGTCTATAAATGAGAGAATGAATATTTATCTCTTAAAAGTGCTTTAAAGATTTAACAGATAAGAGAAGCAAAACATTCACAATAGTGTCTGGTGTATAAAGGAACTCAATAAGCATTAGTTATTGGTATTGTTAAAAAAGTATTAAAATTTCACAATTGAGGTATAGAACAGCATTTAAAAAAATGTTCTTGTAAGCAAGAGACAGGAAAAGAAATATTGTGCGACTGTCCTGCTTCAAGGTTGTATGTGGTGAGATTTTTGGACTTATGTGCAAACATGAGAAGCATAGAATTCTTTATCCTATTTTTAAAATATAATCTAATTTTTAAATTTTTTATCATATTATGTAGGGACTTAAAGTTCAACATACCAATACTTGATGAAAAATACCTGTTCCTTATCATGACTAGGATGTTTGAAATGCAATGAGATAGTGAGGTTAAGCTTGATAGCCTAAATCGTTTGATAATAACAATAAGCTTGTCTTCTGGATGGTTAACAACCTAAGTTTGCAGACCCAAATTAGAGAAAAAGGAGGGCTACAAGGAAAGCCAACATTTTGGCCCTAGTTTTCTAAGGTCAATTAAGACTCAGGACATATGAGAACTTGTACTGTAATGTCATGTACCTCGGTAGTGTCCCAAATTTTCTGATCAAGAAGATTATGGGGCCAAAGAGGAAAGTGATCGATGATGTAGAATGTGCCTAAGGAGAGTCACATGGGGAGAAGACACTCTCTCAGGCTTTCACAGAGAGCACATTGGCCAAGCATTGGCCGTGACTCATCCACATGGCTGACACTGACAAAGGTTCTACAATCTGAGGTACAGGATCTCAGGATAAATCCTGAGGGCATTTCACTGACCTTCTCAGACCAAAAAGCTACAACTCTTGTTGCATAGGTCCTGCTTTACCTTGGTCTTAACCATCCAGTAGAAAAGTATGAAGACGAAATATAGGAAGTAAAGCCATGCTGTTATGTTGAGCTGTGGGGGACTCAGGTCAATAATTTCTGACATTGCCAGTTAAACAGAAGACCCAATGCTATTATGGGCTACTGGACTCTTTTAGAATATTTTGCTGAGTTTACACACCTATAACATTCAACAACGGAACTTAAAAAAATTGGGATATAACTATGAATGTCCATTTTGTATCTGTGTATTCAAAGTGGTTGGAATAGATATATAGTTGCATTCTCTTAATGAATAGAATGATTTGTTCTAATGGTGTTTGTAAGTAGGATCACAAGTCTGCATCTTGTACAGCAACTAACCACTAAGAAGAATATATGCAGTGTATTATTTGTTGAAACTGTACTTCCCATTTGATTTGAAACTGTCTCATTGCTATATGTTTATCAATAAAACTTTGAAAAGAAAAAAAAATAAAATAAAAAATGTTCTTCATGTCACTAAATTTTAAACACCAGATTATTACATGAAGAAATGTAATCTTCAAGCCAGTTGTTATGAAAAACCCTAAGATCTTTTTTCTCAGAAAGTAAAAGTAATGGGCAAACATAAGGCAATTTTTAAATCTGTTAATTACTAATTTTACAGCTTAGTACTTTGTGAAACAATTAAGAATAGATTTATTTATTTATTTATGTATTTAGTACAGGGTCTACAGGGTCTCACTACACAGATTGGAATCATAGTGATCCTCCTATTTTCAGCCTCCCCAGTGCCAGGATTTCAGGCATGCACCACTACACCCAGTCTCAATAGCTCTCTCAGCATGCCCCGGTGGCAGGGCCGGCACAGCATGCTGGGTGGGGATTGAACCCATTCCCTGTGCCTGCCTAAGCAGGCGCTTTAGTCTGCTGAGCTATCTGGCCAGACCTAAGAATATTTTTAAATGAATGATACTATGATGGTTTTTATGTTTGTCATGTCTTATAAAAACATATCTATGTGTGCAACTTATATTTGCAGCTAATATACTGTTTGAGTAGTGAAGAGCCTGAGTTTATTTGATGTGAATGATCAGACATAATTGCCTTAATTTTGCAGAGCTATTTATTATGTTGCTAATGAAAGCCATATTTTGTCTTTTTTTTTTTTTTTTTTTTTGCATCAACAGATCCAGAGACGATGGCGAGCCCATAAGGTGCGGAAATACTGCTTTGATTATTTTTGCTTTAAAGAATACCTGCGAGGTGTTTCACGGGCCAACGACACAATCAGGTGAGTAATAAAATCCCTAATCTAGTGAAATTTTTTAGGGCTGTTCAATAGATGTTGGTTATTACTATGCTTAGAAATATGTCTTATGACTCACTGATATTTGAGGCAGAATTTTGCTGGTATTGTTAGGATTCTACTTACCTTAAAATATATTAGTGCTGTATATTGAAATATCTTGTACTCCTGCTGCTTACTTATAGTTTTGAATATTGTGTATTCCTGTAGTTATGATTCTGATTTCCTTAAAAATACATTATTCTTATATATGTAATCGTCTTGTACTTCTAAAGACTACTTATGTGTGTGATATTTAGATCCTATGCACAGTAGTTCCATTTCTATAAAATGGCCCGGTGACGAGTTGGGCTCGTCTGTCCAGTGAACACTTAAGTATGGGGAGTCGGAGATACATTTGGAGAAATTCTCAGCAGCAAGAACATACCTCTCAGTGGAGAAAATGTGCTGAAATGATGGGTGGGGCTGTTTTCCTTTCCATGTTAATTCTAAGTACCCACAGTGAAAGAACGGGGAGCTAAGATACAAGAGATCACCATGGGTAGGGATGCAGCAGCAGCCATCGGAGTGTTACGTAGCCAGCGTTTCCACAACTCTCTGTACTCTTTTTCCCTGAACGTACTTTGAAGACAGTTCTAGACCACGTGTGATACGGCCCGTGCTCATGACATGTGAGTGCCCACATGCCTGTAGTACTTTAGAAAGGAGATGAGGACATAGTGGCTAGTCACTGGTGGCACTTATGTAGCACTTTTACTTTCAATTTTTTCCACATACATTTATCTTATTTTATTCTTTAAATTCTTTGAACTAGAGAGAATAGTTGGTAATAATTCATTAAAAGCATTGTCTGAAGCCCTATACATATCATAATATATATCTAAAAATGAAATTCTCAAATGCTAACTTCCTTACATGTGTTGCAAATATACAGGATTAAAGGGCGGTAGGTGGGGCCCAGAACTGAAGGGGACACCCCTCATGGGTGGCTTGCAAGTGCCAAGCCATGTCTGTGTGACACTGGGACCACGATCTTCAGTTTTGCATGCCAGGGGTCATGTTTGCTTTGCCTTAGTTCAGCTCCTGAATAGGAGAGGTATTTGAGGAGGTGGGCAGGTGGAAATGCGACCTCGGAAGGGCCTGTGTCTTCTACTTACGGGTATTTCCCTTAAACCTGTTCTCATCCTGGTTTTAATGGAAATAACTGTAGTCACTAGGAAGCCTGGCATAGCAATGCTGGCGGTTGGTTTTCGAGTGGTGTTTTTTTATTACCTCACAGAGATCTATCACTTTATATCTACTTCTTAGAGTTTTTAAAAGCAAGAATAGTTTGATGTAACAAATGCTTCTTTATTATCCATAGGTATTTTTTTTCATCCACTGACACACAAGGAAATATACTTTATGAATAGGTACACTAATATTCAATTATTAGTATGTTATAGACATACATCTAGCTCAGTCATTGTTATTCTCTGGATTTATCACTGAGTTATATTACTATTTTATAGAGATATTTATATCTGCTTTGTAAGAATAGTTACAATTTTCTTGTGTTGCAAGTATCAGGTTTTAGTATCATGCTTTACTGTATTGATTACATCAACGGAGTACATTACAGCATGGGGCTATTGTTCTTGAGACATTTAAAAGGAATGATTCATAAACTACGCATAGAGCTTCTGGGAGAATGTGTATCTTTTAACATTTCCAAACCTTTAGTTAAATTTTCATATTTCTCTTAATAGTCCATTTTGTTATTTTCAAATAATGATTTAGTTTATTAACATCATTAAAACAGATCCTTTTATACATTCAGTATGTACTTAGGTGTTATATTGCATTTCTCATTTTTAATTTTGATTATTTAAATTTTTATCTCTGGTATTCTCAAAATTATCAGAACTTACCAATTCTATTGTTTTTACCTATTTTGTTATTTTTCAAAGGCCCACCTTTTGTATTTTGTATTTTACTGTTTTGTGTCCTAATTATCTCGTTTTCATCTAGAAGACCTTTGTGATAAAGGTGACCTTGTCAGTTATGCACAAGCTGAAAATACAAATAACTTAAAATAGACAGAAGAGCACCAAGAATTCCATCACTCAGAAGCAGACATTATTAAAGTCTTGATGCGCTGAGCCACCATGTACGGTGCACGTGCCCCAAAGTCCAGCACCTTGGGAGGCGCAGGCAGTAGAGTCACAAGTTTAAGCTCATCCCGGGAAACGTAGTAACTAGCAAGACCCTGTATCAATTTTTTTTTTTTAAGAGCTAGGCATGTGGCTCAGTGTGAAGGCCTTGGGTTAAGTTCCCGGTACCACTCACAAACACACAAATATAGATCATTCTTACCTCTATTACTTAAGAACTGCTTGACTTTGGAAAAATTCTTTCTTTTTATGTATTTAGTTCAGGGTCTACAGTGTCTCACTATGCAGATCAGACTCGTAGTGATCCTCCTGTTTTCAGCCTCCCAAGCACTGGGATTACAGGCGTGTGCCACCACGCCCGGTCTCAGTGGCCCTCTCAGCTTGCCCTGGGGGCAGGGCTGGCAGAGCCTGCTGGGGATCAAACCCTGTCCCTGTGTGGGAAAATTATGTTATTTCCCTCTTCCTAAATATTTTCATCTAGAAAATAAAAATATAGTAGAATAATGCCTATTATGGGCATACTTTTTATGTAGATATTATTATGAGGATGCATTAATCAATATTATGACTTGGTTGGGTAGAACCTGATATGTAATATGCACTTGTTAGTTTATGGTTTTGTTTCTTTTTTTTTTTATTTCAAAGTTTTATTGATAAAACAGATAGCAATGAGACAGTTTCAAAGCAAATCGGAAGTATAGTTTCAACAAATAATACACTGCATATATTCTTCTTAGTGGTTAATTGCTGTACAAGATGCAGACTTGTGATCCTATTTACAAACACCATTAGAACAAATCATTCTATTCATTAAGAGAATGCAACTATATATCTATCCCAACCACTTTGAATACACAGATACAAAATGGACATTCATAGGTATACCTCATTTTTTCTAAGTTCCGTTATTGATTATTATAGGTGTGTAAACTCAGCAAAATATTCTAAGAGTCCAGTAGCCCATAATAGCATTGGGTCTTCTGTTTGACTGGCAATGTCAGAAATTATTGACCTGAGTCCCCCACAGCTCAACATAACAGCATGGCTTTATTTCCTATATTTCGTCTTCATACTTTTCTACTGGATGGTTAAGACCAAGGTAAAGCAGGACCTATGCAACAAGAGTTGTAGCTTTTTGGTCTGAGAAGGTCAGTGAAATGCCCTCAGGATTTATCCTGAGATCCTGTACCTCAGATTGTAGAACCTTTGTCAGTGTCAGCCATGTGGATGAGTCACGGCCAATGCTTGGCCAATGTGCTCTCTGTGAAAGCCTGAGAGAGTGTCTTCTCCCCATGTGACTCTCCTTAGGCACACTCTACATCATCGATCACTTTCTTCTTTGGCCCCATAATCTTCTTGATCAGAAAATTTGGGACACTACCGAGGTACATGACATTACAGTACAAGTTCTCATATGTCCTGAGTCTTAATTGACCTTAGCAGACTAGGGCCAAAATGTTGGCTTTCCTTGTAGCCCTCCTTTTTCTCTAATTTGGGTCTGCAAACTTAGGTTGTTAACCATCCAGGAGACAAGCTTATTGTTATTATCAAACGATTTAGGCTATCAAGCTTAACCTCACTATCTCACTGCATTTCAAACATCTTAGGCATAATAAGGAACAGGTATTTTTCATCAAGTATTGGTATGTTGAACTTTAAGTCCCTACATAATATGATAAAAAAACATTTAAAAATTAGATTATATTTTAAAAATAGGATAAAGAATTCTATGCTTCTCATGTTTGCACATAAGTCCAAAAATCTCACGATATACAACCTTGAAGCAGGACAGTCCCACAATATTCCTTTTCCTGTCTTTTGCTTTCATTCACCACCCCCTTCTTCTTGAACATCCACCTACCCGAGAGACATCTTAGCAGTAACTGGCGTGTCATGACAAGCCACTATGGTTTTGTTTCTATGCTAGCATATGTACCATGGTATTGTAACCAGTTGTCTCTCATGAGAGACAAAATATTGTGAGTATTTTCATGTCAAAAAATATACTAATGTCATTGTTAATAGTAGCCATGTCAGAAAATAAATTCTTTCTTGTTGGAGATGTCAGTGTTCCACAATTTTGCTCTTTTAAACAGTATCTATTTTCATGACAGTAACTGGGAATTTGTTTTAGTTTGTGTAGTATCAATTTATGACCGTGTTTACTACATTTTGGTCATCAGTTACTTCTTGGTAATCAAAAAGTAGGCTACTGCTTGGTTCTCTGCAGTTTTGTCCACATTTCATATATTTTGATATGTGATATTCTCATTTTTATTTGCATGTTTATCCTCTTGGCAATTCATTTTTCAATCTCTAGTAGTGTTTGAGCTTTTTCTTGTAGTTGAACCATTAATTTTATTTCTAGGTTTATTATGCTATAGTCAGAAAATATATTTTGTACCAGTATTACTTTAGGGAATTTATTGAATTTTTCTCATATATATTATTTTATGTGTACTAGAAATCAAATAAATGGGTTTCAGTTTTCCATCTATACTAAGTTGTTCCTTTTTTAATTGACCAACAAAATCTTTATCTGCATCTTACCTGCTCTGCTCTTTCAAACTTCTCTCATTTTACTGTTTCTTGTTGTGCATAAACTAGGATTTGTCTGATTAGGCAAGCTGCTCTTTAGACTGTCGGCGCGTTCGGCTCATGAGACCTCCTTGCACCACATGTCACTTTTGTGGAAACGGAGCCAGTCCCTTGTCAGCCGGACGTCCTTGCCTCCACCACTTTTCAGCGGAAGTGCTCGGTCCCCACACTACCTGCTCTTTGTGCATCAGCTTCTGTAACTTCTTGCCTGACTCCTGAAATACAGCATTTAGT